GGACCCTGTTCGTCACCCGATGCGGAGTTCGCGGACGGCAGCAAAATTTTGCGAACGGTGCTGTTCGTGACCCGAATTGGTCGGGAACAGAAGCGTTCGTGACCCAAGGTACCACTGTATTTTGTTGTACCATCTCTATTCCACTTGGAACACATAAGTTATGTTGTAGTGATAATAAGGGCACACATTTTATTAGGATAAAATTCATGGGCAATGTGAAGAAAGCAACTACTGTATCAACACGTTGTATGGAGTTCACCTTTGGTAGAAATGAAATGGAAACTGTGGCTATGAGGCCTAGCAAGCTGTTGTTGCTTTGCTCTATCATGCAGAACAAAGCTCCTTACTAAAAATAATAAATTTGATAGCACTATACATGTTTAGCTCTCTTCTCTTCAGGCTTGGTTCCAGCTCACTCATAATAGCATCAGATCCCTTTTTGTGAATTCGCTGTTCTACCTTTGACTCACACTTCATCTTTTTGTTCTACAGGCCTATATTATGCCACCACCCACTTGTGCTCTTTTTTTGCTTGCTTGCTTCTTATATGGGTGCTATTGATGAGCGTGTTGATACAGGAGGATGGCCGACATCATATCTGGATTTTTTTGTGTATATTTAGTCTTAAATAGTTGAGCTCTGGAACAATGTTGCAACCATCCATGAACCAGTCACAGACTTCTTTGAAGGTGCTCCATGTCTCTTTCCTTCCAATAGTCACCATTCCCTCCTTTCTGAGCATGGGCAGTTACTATTTCATCTCTTTAGGATTCTCCCCACCCCAAAGTATGTTGAGTTCTGTCACCTCCGGCATCTGCTGATGCATTCCAGTGCATCTGGATTGCATCAGGTTGAATAGAATAGATAAAACTTGTGTAGATAATTAAATCCTATACCACTGCCTTGGAGCTTTCAGCACTTATTTGGATTTCAACTTTCTACTAGCATATTTATGCACTGCCTCTTTTATTTTGAATTTTGCTAAGGGAACTAGAACAGCCCAGTTAAACCTGCAAAACTGCAAGCATAGCTCAGGGGAGGTCACATTCCTTTGGATTCATGACGTGGTAATTCTGATGACGCGTCCTGGATTCTGTGCATAGAAATGACAGGTCACTGATCATGTACAGTTTGATCTCCTTGATTGCAGTACAAAACCTTATCCTAAACCTTCCATTTGTTAAGCTTTCTATATTATAAGGAAAAAAATAAATTTCCATCTGGTAGAAAACAAGTTAGCTGTACTATCTTCTGAAAAAAGTTTAGTTAGGAAGGAACTCTCTCCCCAGTCCACTGTCCCTTTCACAGCAGTTGTTTGTTATATGGATCTGCTCCTTCCTTTTCTTTCTTATGTTGCCAGCTGACCTCCTAGGGAAGGGCATGTGTTGTAGGGATGCTGCCAAATTCTGTTTTCCTATTTGTTTTTCCTGTACTAGGAGATGGGCAGAATGGATCATCGGCTTCATCAAGCACAGTTTCTCAGTTCACGCTTCCTCACCCTGAGGCTGGAAGCTTCCAGGCAACGACCACCAGTATGGATGACATTATCACAAGCACTCCACAATTCAACGTCAGCAACACTGGTCAACCAGATTATCTGACTACTACTACACTTGGCTATTTGAACACCACAGCAAGGGTACAGACTCAGACTGCAAATAATGCATCTAATAGTAGCACTAATCCTTCTATATTTCTTACTCCAACTACAAACTTAATGGAAACTAATACATTTGATCTGGATGATAGAAAATATATCAGTACCACATCCTGGCTTGCTTCTAGCACTGAGATCCTGACTACAGAAATTTCTCAATCAAAGGAGACACAAGGTAAGACTGGGCAGTTATCCATAATTTCTCATGGCATGTGCTTTAAACAAATATGACCAGGATGCCTCAACTAATTCTTTTTCACAGACACCTAAAAATATTAAGGACTTAATTCTATATTTGCCAAAAATGGGGGGAAAAACAAAGAAAACACCCTCTGGGCTAAAATCCTAAGTCTGCAGAGTTACAGTTAAATATTTCTGTGGCCTCAGCGTTTTAAAAAAAATTGTTACTGCATGCAACATAGAAATGGGAAGTCTGGAAGTGGCACATCCTCAAAAATGGTTTTAAAATTGGGTACCTCAACTTTTGCACTGTTCTGTTTATTTGTTGTTTATCAATCAAACTTATATGGCTGCCCAACTACCAGAAGAAACTTTAATATTGCTATTATTATTGAATAATTAATTATATATTCTGCTTACTAAGCCTTAAACTTACTTCATTTTTTTAGCTGACTTTTCAGGCCAGACTGCTTTTCTAAACTTCTTCAGTCTTTCAACGCAATTATAAAATATTACTTTTTTGTGAGGCTGAAGACAAAGCTGATCATAGCAAAAGAAAATTGGAGAATCTTAAATTTTCAAGAAGTAGCAGTATTTTATTTCTTTATTGTTGATATTGTTCTATCTAAAAAGAGAACTGCTGTATGAGAACCTTCATATTTATATTTATTGCCCTTGAGCTTAGGATATTAATGGCATGCATATTTCAACAAAAGAGAATGTTTGCTATGGCTGTTACTACACCCAATTCATGAATGGGAATGCGTCCAAAACCTGCTTTGGTATAAAAAAAACCAAAATATTTTTCTACAGAATTTAAATATTAGATTAAAAGGACAATTTGAGAATAAAGCCACAACAGCTTCTACATAGGAAATGGTAGGATTATATCTGACTATTTTTAAATCAATGTACAGTATAACAAAGTTAGACCTGTTCCACTATGATAGAGCCATTCTCTAGCATGTAGAATTCAGAAAAACTAGAAGTCACGTTCACTTACAATCAAACAGTTAGAATATCACAGCAAATCATGTTGCAGGATTGCTTGTTATCAGCAGACATTACATTAAGGACATTATTTGTCCAAGGTAGCAGAGCTGGTGATTGATCTTTGAGAGCTTTTTGTTGTTGTTTTTGCTGTCCTATCATTATAGAATACTCTGAGGACATCCATGGGTGACAATCGAAGAAGAAAAGGGTATGAATCAGACTGATAATATAAAACCCAAATTGTTCTTCATGGTGCCCACCTTTGATGGGTTGGGGAAGGAATTGTTTGTTGATGTTGAAGTATTCCAAGGGACACATCTATGTATCCAGCTGCTGGATTTGCCTGTGAACCTACTTGGCTTATACACGATATTTGGTTTCAGACTGAGTCAGTAAAGAAGAATGATCCCTAAAGAATGTTTAGAACTTTTCAATATAACTTTTCCAATTTCTCAAGTCATAAACCTCAGATTTTACAAGCTAGGCTCTACTCAATAAAGAGTCATGAGAAGACAGCTCTATCATATCAAAGTACAAACAATGGCAGCAATTGGCAAACACCCATTAATATGTCTGTGACAACGCTACTCATATGTTTATTGAAGAAATACTATTTATTTATTTTCCAAATTCATATAGCCACCAATCTCTCATTTATGGTTCTGAGCAGCTTACAAATATAAAATATTACAGGTATATTATTAAAACAAATATAAAAAATACAACAATTTAAAACAAGAAAAATATATAAAAGTGTATTAAAACCCATCATAAAATACATAAAACTCACAGCTAAGGTAATCCCATTCATTAAAACAATCAGTATAGCTACTGTACTGGTTCCATCATACTCCATGGTCCCTATGCCCATTGGGAAAACCATCCCTTCAAGGCCTTGCAGAAAGCTGGCAGAGTTGGGGCCAATCTGATCTCCACGGGGATAAAGATCCACAGGGTGGGTGCCATAGCAGAAAAGGCTGTCTTTCTGGATCCCACCAGATGATACTCTTTGGCTGATGGGACCTGCAACATGCTTCTCCTGTTGGATCTGAAGGGACAGTAGATGTAATTGAGGAGAGGTGATACCTCAAGTAACCCAGTCCCATGCCACGTAGGGCTTTATAGCCCTTCATTACCAGCACCTTCAGTTGAACCTGGGAGTAAACTGGCAGCCAATGTAGCTCACAAAGCAGAGGCATAATGTGCCTAGATTGTGGAGCACACATTAACTGCACATGCAGCCATGTTTTGAACCAGTTGAAGTTTACAAATACTCTTCAAGGGCAGTCCCATGTAGAGCACATTGCAGTAATTCATACAAGAGAACATGAGTAGCTGTGAGCAGGGCCTCCTGGTCCAGGAACAGGCACCACTGGCACACAACACATTGTGCAAGGGCCCTCCTGGCCATGGCTGCTACTTGTTCTTTGAACAGGAGGCATGAGCTGCAGAAGGACCCCCAGATTGCACACAGATGCTGTTTGGGGTAATGCAACCCCATCCAGAACAGATGGAAAGTCCCTAGAACCAGGGGAGCCCACTCAGTCTTGCTTGGGTTATGCTGAAGCCTGTTGTTCCTCATCCAACCCCCACAGCCTCTAAGCACCAAGACAAGATCTCTACAGCATCACTTAGTTGGCTCATGCCATCAGATAACCTCACCCAGCAACTTCACATAGATGTTAAACAGGAGAGGAGAAAGTACAAAACCCTATGCCACCCCACAAAGCAGGGGCCAAGGGCGGGACCCTTCCCCCCAGTCAACACTGAGTGCAACCAGCCCTGAAGAACCAGTAAAATACAGTGCTACCCACACCCAACCCACAGAGCCGATTCAGAAGGATACTATGGTTGATTATATTGAAAACTGCTGACAGGTCAAGAAGAGCAAGGATGGACACACTATCCCCATTCTGCTCCCATCGGAGGTCATCCGGAAGTGTGACCAATACCATTTCAGTCTCATACCCATGCCTGAATCCAGACTGAAAGGGGTCCAGATAATCTGCTTCATCTAGAATCCTCTGAAGCTGCTGAGTGACCACCTTCTCTTTTTTCTCAGCAACAAAAATTGTTCAGAACAGCTGGGTCTAGCAATATTTCTTGAGGAGGGGGTGAACCACCTCCTCTTTAAGAGGAGGAGGAACAACCCCCTCACTCAAGGAAGAATTCGCATTGCCAGCACCCAACCACATGTCACATCCTGGGTGGCCTTAGCCAGTCAGGATGGACATGGATCTAATATACAGGTGGCCGAGCTCACGGTCATGAGGACACTGTCCGCTCCCTCAAATCCAGCAGGATCAAACTCCTCCCACATGACCTGCTCCAAGGCAGGAGTCTAACTGTGTACCTGCTTTATTCATGTGCTTTTTATTTATTTGTTTTTATTAGACTTTCTGACTACCAAGATTTATGTTAGAACTGTAGTAACATTACAAGAAGGTCTGGCCAAAGTGGACTCTATTTATTCCTGAATCAAAAAGAGCCAGGATTCCCCCCCACACACACACATTTTACTGACAGTTAAATGTTTCTCTGCAGGAGCATCAGCTACTCCCCAGCCAAAATCTTCTACGTTCACTACCACGGGGCCTACAAAATATACCATGTTAGTCACGGACCATGAGGCTTTCACAGAAGAGAACACTGTTGGCTCCACATCAGCTCCAAGGACTGCTGTTGGTGAACAAGTGATCACAATAGATACATCCAGTACTTCTAGATCAATAACATCCGAGGTTGCCTCCTCTACTGTCTTACACCACAAAATCCTATCAGCAGGGACAGAGCAACCAGCTAACCATGAACAGAAGACATCTGTATTTGATGTGGGAAACAACCAAGGTACACATTTAGCAATCTTGTCTCATCTAGGGAACAGCAAATTTAAAGTGGGTTGGTGAGAACTAGGAAGTAGTTAAACCCAATCTTGGGATAAAACTAGGGAAGAGCAATAGCATAGTGACAAAGCATATGCTCTGCAAGCAGATGGAAGAGGTCACATACTCAGTCCCTGGCATCTCCAAATTAGGCTGGGAATTACTAGGTTTGAAAATAGTTTTGGGGGAAAGATCTCTTGGGGGAGGCACTGCAAGTTTGAATAAATAATTACTAAACAGTGTTTGATTTGGTATTAAGCAGCTTAATATACTCAAATCTGATTGTTAAAGTAGGTGGCTGTGTGAATGCAGCTTTGTAGCTTTAAGTGATGAACTACGTTTTAATACTTAACTTCTTGCTTTCAGATCTGCCCAGTGTACCAGTAGCCAGTCCAATAGGAAAGGACCCCCTGGTGATTGCTGTCATTGTCATTTTTGTTGTGACAGTAGGGATTCTGACTCTCCTGGGTTTCTTGAGGTATCGACAACGCAGCAGTAGACTACAGTTTAGACGTCTCCAGGACTTGCCTATGGTGAGCATCTATAATTAACCATAATCAGTTGGGCCTTTACCCATTCTATTATTTTTCCTCTTGGTGGGAACAGGACCTCTAGAATTTTGAAGGGGAGGAACTTTTTTAATGGCAGCATCCAAAGGTCACAATCCAAATGTGTATGCAGAAAGGAGAATGTTGATAACCAATCCTAACTTAGGAGCATTCAGGTATAACTAGTGAAGGATTATATAGTGAGAATAGAGAACATATTTGGTAAATGTTATTATATCCATGCAGATATGAAGGAAAAGGGATTGCAATGGCTGCAGCTAGGTCTGAGAAGCTCTTCCAGATCAATAGAATAGCCTTATTTTGAATAGGTTGGCACCATGGCAGCTATATAAATTAGTTCCCCATTTCAAGCTTAATCTAGCAATACTTTCTCATCAGGAAAGATAAGAATCTGGTCTGGGACATGGCCTCGTGCCACTATACCATATTAGTCACCTGGTCTATCTGTTCCAAAGGGTGATTCTTTGAGATGGCAAAGGCTCAGGTTCATTAAGAGATGGCTCAGAAGTCACTAAGAGTATGTGTACTACATAGCTTAGATTTCTCTCACTAATGCCTGGGCCAGCACAAAATTAATAGAAGTTTTTCTCTTTCTCACAGGATGACATGATGGAAGACACACCTCTTTCCCTCTACAGCTACTAAGCAATCTAAAATACGTTTTTTTTTTTTTTTTACAAATCCTGTAAAGGATGCCAATTGGGAAGCAACTCTAAGAGTTTGGAGCTGCTGTACTGACTTGGAAATAACTATAGAGATGCAAATCAAATGACTGACTTTCTTAAAATGCCTTCTTTTTTTCTTATTTTTGAGAATTGGAATCTTTTCAAGGTCCAATTTCCTGACCAAGACCTTTTCCTCATTATATCTGCATTTTCTGTGACTGAATACATGCAGCGCTGGAGGAAAAAATTCAGCCAGCTTTTCAATTGCAAGCTTCATATCAAGGAAGGTTTTGTTGCATTTTGAGGAATTACACTGTATGGGGCGTGGGTTTTTTTCATAAAAAGTACAAAGTATTAATTAAGCTTATGGAATACGATGTGTTACTTGTGAATGGAAATGCAACCAGACTGTGATTGGGAGATCAGGTTGGCTCCCTTATTTTCTTTGAATTACACTTCAAGTTTCTATCAAGATTAAAAAAATGTTCTAGGAGGAAGTAGCGATCTCATTCTTTTTATAGGAGCTCTTCTGGATTATATTAAAAAAAAATAGTCCAACATTCATTTTCCTTTATGGGGCCATCCAAATGCCTCTAGCAAGTTGAGACAAAGCTAAAAAGCAGTAATCTTCTGTTCCACTTAATGGTATTCGGTATTCACATTGCATAGTCTGACTACTACTGCTGGAGGACTTTCCCTCACTGCTTTACATTGATTTTACAGGGAATAAGAGCAGCTGTGGTTTGGATAACCCTATTTTCAGCACACCATTTAACCTCAATTTACCAAGGAAATTGTACTCCTTTGTTCAATACTAAGGGATGGCACATGAGATGTTCTTCAGTCATTGTAAGTATTTTAGCCAAGTCCTGCCGGGATTGTTGACAAATGCCTGGAACAATAAGACTGTATGATAACTCTCATTGGTGCTGCTGTTTGGAAGCCAATCTAGCTTTCTGTGTTACTATTTAGCAAGCTCAGCATTTGAACAGTCCTGGCTACTTGGAAGGTCTTTGGTATGAACACCTGGAAGTTGCCTGTTCACACATGCAGCCTTTATCCCCTTCTCTTCCTCTTCACCTTCTTTCAAAGTTCAGACAATTCATTTCATCCATCATTTTCACCATGCTATGTTTTCACATATAAGCTGGGTTCATACACTAAAATAAGCCTTAATGTTGTCTATTTGGTTTGGATTCAACAAGATGGGTAAACCCAACAATTGAGGTTTTTAACCCAAAGTTTATGGTTTAGCATGGTGTGAACTCTGCTATTTGTAGCTTAGTCAAGAAATCAGTGATTTGTGAACATAGCAATTTATTCTGGGATTGGGGTAGCTTAAATAGAGAAGCCTAATAGTGATACTTGTTGAAGATCTCTGTACTAGAATCTCTAGGTGTCACAAGCGGAGCTTTCTACAGGATAAAACAACCCTGGGGCCAATTTCCAACTAGCCTATAATTATCAGAGGTCTGCTGTTTCATTTTAAGATCATCTCTTCTCCTTTCTATGCAAAAAGGAAATGCAGTTCTGCATGTGTGAGAAGTAAACATAGAGGAAAATCAAATGGGAGCTAGAGGGAGAAAAAATACAAAAACTGGTGGCATTGCCACCTAACAAAGAGCTACAGGGTGAAGATGGACAACAAAGAAAGCTAATGCTTCTCCAATAGCACTTAGTTGGAAAATGATGGCAGGGATATTTTTCTTCCCAGCATCATGTGGCCTTTCAAAGTTATATCATTAAAGCAGGGAAAATACCCTATTAATGCAGATAATAAGAGGTTACTCCTCTATTCACCATCAGTAAGAACCCCACGTTTCATTATTCCTGTGGGACATGGCTCATCATAAGAAAAAAGATTCTCCACTTCATGACCTACGTGCCCACAGAAGCTGTCAAGCTCTACAGGTGAAGCCCTTAGGAATGAAGTCACTTGTTCAGTCACAAACTTCTTGAGCTCGGGAGAATAATTACACCAATCCAGAGAAGATAGATTCAAATACGCCTGAAAGATGCTAATAGCAAAATCTTGCAACTTGTTCTTATGTAAATTTATCCTGAGGTTCAATGAGGCTCACTTTGACAGGAATTATGATAGCCTGATCTCCAAGTAACAATAGCATGGGAAGTCAATTCAATTGCAGACAATAAAGAGCCCAGAGAAGGGTAAACAACCTGAAACTGCATGAAGCTCCTGGAACCTGTCACCCCCCCTCCCCCAAATTAAGCAGCAAGTCACCAAATAACAATGCAATATTCTTATGTCACAAATACATTGGCTCTCAAATGTTCTTAATAAACTTAAGTTTTTTAAAAACCCAACTGCTTTCCTCTGAAAACAAGACCCACAATTTTGTCTGAAATTTGATTATATTGCCACCATCCTTTCTGTGGTCTTCAGCACCAAAAATTAATAAAATAAAAGCAACCCCCAGCTGCCAAAAAAGCTGCCTGTCCCTGGGCTAGGCTATTTCTTAGGTCTTCAGCAGGGATGGGCCTCAAATGTATGTAGGAATTCCTAGGCAGGTCTGCAGAGGAGGGTTTTCTAATTGTTGTGTTAAGCTAAACTGTCTCCTTCAGTATTGTAGCTTCCCTGAGGCTAAAATAAGGCAGTACTCAAAGTTTTACTTCATAAGGCTATTTGACAGCATTACAGTGGGCAACGTGCCAACTCCTTATATATATACCTTTGAAGGCGGCAGAAGACTTTGATAGCTCCTTTGGGTTAATTTTTATTAATTCGAGGCTTAGGCATAATTGTGTTAGTTAGCAAAAAAGTAGAAATCAGTCTCAGTGGTTACCTTTGAAGCTAAAAAGGGTGGGACACTAATCAAGATAAAAAGAACTCAGTACTACTGCAACCAATCTACTACCCTATGGCAGTGTGTGAGGAAGAAAAGCCTACTTAAGTAGAATCTTAGTCTGAGCCATCTACAGCACTGCAAATAGAACTAGACTATATAATATCAATACCCAATTACATATTTTGACTCCAGCCTGGACAAGTGATGCTGTCGAGGTCCTGGCTGAGTGCCTGGAGGCTGCATGGGCTTGGATAGGGACTCTGATTCAATCCTACCAAGACTGAGTGGCTGTAGATATTAAGGACCCTTGGATCCGAGGACCTTCCATCCATACTCTTAGATGGGGTAGCACCTCCCCAATTGGGTGATGTGCAATGGGGGGGGAGGCTTTACTTAGCTCAATCTAGTGCACTAGTTGTGTCCTTTCAGATGGTCACCCATCTATGCCCATGTCACCTCAGGCTCAACTACTGCAATTCGCTCTACATGGGGCTACTCTTGAAAACCACTCAGAAGCTTCACCTGGTCCAGAATGCAGTGGTATGGGCAGTGATGGACATGCTTTGGTATGCCATGTGACATCTCTGTTCCACTGCTGCCTTGGTTGCCAGTCTGCTTCTGAGTGCATTCAAGGTGCTGGTTATTACCTATCATGCCCTACGTGACATAGGGCCAATTTACTTGAGGGACTGCTTATCTCCCTGTTGGTGTTCCCTAAAGCCTTGAGGACTGGTGGTTCTCTTCCTATAGCTCCTTCCCATTGTTCAAAAGCTAAACTTCAAAAGATGAATATTCCTCCCTCTTATCAAAGACTAAATAATGTACCAAAGTCGAGTTTGTTGATGAATACATGTAAGCTTTATTGCATTAATACAGTCAGCTACGTTGCGACAAATTGTTCTGCTCAGATATCACTGAATTAGACTTCTCTGTCTTTGCTTCCCCAAATCTGAAACAAGCGTGGAATGAAAAGAGTGGGAGCAACCATTGTTTCTTGCCATTACTCTCTGAACTACTGGAATATCCCTGATTAAATCTCCTGTCAGCTAATTCCTCACCTTTTCTCCTGCTCCTCTCCCTTGCCTTTAATCCTTTTCCTCTTCTGAAATTACTTTCACCCTGAGACTGGGGATATTCCTTCTCAAGGCTCTTCTTCAACATAGGCTTTTAGGATGTGTGAGAGATGCAGCTTTGTCCAGTACACTGATATGTCACACCCACAGGAATTTCAGGTGTTCTGTTAATCAGAATAAGATGGAGGACTTCATGATGATTTTAACAGGCCTCTACTCTTTCATCTAGGCCTTGCAAAGAGAAGATGCAACTGTAACAGCTGCAATTCAAAACCAGTTTAATCTTATCTTCATAATTGGATATTTCAGAAAAAGAATATAGAAACAGCTTTTGCATTAAACTATTCTAATTAGTTACTTAATTTATCACTATAAAGATGTCCAAGTCTGGGATCTTCTATGATTAAGAATTCTGGGGTTGCAGTTCAGATAATGGCTTTCTCAAAAAGTTTATTTGCTCATTGGGCTTTTCTACTGCCATGGAATAAAATGAGAATCCCACATATTATTGAGAAAAACAAGCTGAAACACTGGGAAGAAAGATGCACCTTGTTACATTCTCATCATGCTGTGTTTTTAAGTCTGCAGTTAGTCCAATCAATGAAAAGTATAAATCTCTGCATAAATTAAATCCAGACTTAAATGCAAAGATTATACATTTGAGAGATGTAATATAGAGGTGCCTAATATACTACGTTCTCATACTGTAGTTTTATTTTTCATACGTTCATGAGTTTCCTGATAATAATTTCTACAGCTGGAAATCTCTGGGTTTAAAAGCTGCAGGGGTGTCTGTGTGTGCATGTGTGAATGATTTTAATCATAAAGTTGTCAAGGAAAGAGTTAAGTTCCCTTTATTCCAACACTCTTCTATTCAAAAGTGTAGTGACACATTACAAGGTAAGGAGGATTTTATTACAAGATAAATCTGTAATGCACTTTGACATTTCATTTCCTTACTGGCTTGGCTTGTAAATCACACAGAGTTTGTCTTAGCTTAGATGAGAACCTATCTAAAGCCTGACTCTTAATTTTATTCCTACATTTGCCATTCACTGAAAATGACCCAAGGCAAGGTAATTAAGAAGTTACACTGTGATTTTTTTCCCCACCTAATCCAAAACGCAGTAACCTTGGACACACTGTCATTTAGGCAAATTAGTTCCCCTATGACTCCAAAGACAAGTGTAGCAGCTCAGTGGCCAAGGAAACAAGGTGGGTGCACCTAGAATTGTCCAGTAGTTCCACCTGCTCCCAAACAGGACATAAGCCACACTGCCCTGAAAACGTCTCTGCTACCACCACAAAGCTGTAACGTGCATCCAGACACAGCAAGGCTTGCCTTGATCACCCACTGGGGCACATGGCAGATTAATGGCTTCATACATGTAATATAGTATAGGCTCTTCTGTCCTTTAGTAGACTCTTTCCTTCATGTCTGGCTTTGCCTTAGTGGTGCTGAATCAGGAGAGCCAGATGCTCCTGCGTGGATACAGATACTGACCAAATTAACAGGCTTTGTAGTTTAAGATGAATCACTTTCCAGAACATTTTTTCTTGCAGCTCAGTCTCAGTATTATTTATGTATTAGAAAGAGCTATGCTATATTCCATGCATACAGGAGTCAGTAATGCCATTGTTCATTTCCAGAAAGAGACGTTGGAAGCTATTAACAAGATGCACAGTGTCTGTGAAATGATTCCAGGCCTACCCACCAAACCCTGATATACCAGCATGACACAGGACATGGGCTAAGATCACTCTTCCTCCTACTTCATGCAGTATCTGTACAAAAGCAGCTCAGCATGTTGAAAACCACTCCTTATGTTTCTCCTCTCTTTAATTTGTTTCCTCATTAAAAAGAATGAGGCAGTCTTTAGGTGTTGCTTTAAAGGTCACTCAAGTTGAGCTTAGGCAAACTGGTGGATAGCTCACTGCTGATTTCTGCCCTCTCCAACATGCCACCAATTGCCCCTCCAGGGGTATTTTCCAGTTCCAAGCTTGGGAAAGAAACCTTGTCATCTAAAAGGTACAACACAGTGTAATTAGCATATTACTATGCACCATTAAATAAGTTATGCTTCCAATATGAACCTTTATTTATTTATTTGAAATTTATTAGCCACTCAACTCCAATGGGTTCTGGGCAGTGTACAATATTTAACGTTTTTTTCAAGTGATGCAAGTAGACCCATTTGAAAAGAGCTGCAGAACAGCCTGTTAAGTGATTAGTATCTTTACTAGTATCTTCTGTAAATTAGTATTTACAAAAAATGGAGGAAGGGGGTTAGCTGACATCATAGGGCATACATATATGGTAAAATGAGCTGGTGAAGTTGCAAAGAGATACAGCTCTATGCAAAAGTGCTGAAAATCTCTTGCATGGAGAGGTGTGGGAGCAGATCTACAGAAGCTGGGAATTGCCCAGCTTCTTTAAAAAGACAAAAGTAGCAGGATTAGAACAGAGCCAAATCCTAATAAATTTAGGAAACCCGTTTCTCCAGGTCCTGCTCATGAGAACACTGAGCAGCTTAATGAAATGGTATTTGTTTCTTAGAAGATGTTAATCCTTTATTCTCCCAAGATGATGTTCTTTCGGTCTGATGAAATAAACAAGTTTCAAGAAATAAGGAAAAAAACAAACAGATGTCTTTTCAGTATTGGCTTTCCCTCCCCAGCAACATCATAATTCAGTATTTCAAAATGAGGTAGTCCCTACCAGCAGGTTGTACAATTTCTGGTTCACTGAAAAGTTCATCTGAACTGACATCTGTGAGACTGAACTCAGAGATGGAATCATCACTAGTGAAGGAGGACAAGTCCTCTTCATGGAGTAACTCTTCATTCTTTTCTAGCAGACAAAACAGTGAAGGAGATCAGAGATCCAACAGCAACTCATAACTACAGGCTCAATTTTCCAAAGCAATATTTGGGAAATTAATAACTAGGTGAAAAGCTGCCTCTTATTGTATTAGCTTTCCTGATCCATTATTACATATTGCATAAATGAATGTTTACTTTAATAATGTTAATTAGCAAAGACATACCTATTAAAAAGACATACAATAGTGCACCTTTTTCAGTCTCTGCCATTTGTATTGGCTGGATATTGTAATCTGCAACATGCAGTAATGGGAAATGCTTCTGACTATATGTTATATAAACATTAGTATTCAAAGATGAAGGGAAAGAGAAGTCAGAGGCATGATATTTTTCAGATTATATTAAAAAACATTAGTTAAAAGATTATATTGACTTATAGACTGAAGGCCATTTTAAATAAGTAATAGATTTAAAGCTTGCTTTTCAATATAAAAGCAGATTAGAAGTTGGACCAATTATAAGTACCTGTCTCATTACAAGAAGAGCAATCTGATATGTAAGCAGATATTTCTAGAAGGCAAAGTCAAAACTAAGTTATTTTCTGTCTTCAGTTCACTGGGATTATTAGGAAAGTGTCCCTACTCCTTACCAATTCCCCACCGAGCAAAAGAGAGATTACCATGTCTATCCTCCAGTGACCAGAAGGGTTCGGGCTAGTTATTTCAACTACAGTTCTGCATCACCAGAAAAACAGAAGAAGAAGGAATGTACTATGTCTTATGAAAGTAAGAGGACTATTTCATTCTAGTCTGCCTTACTATTACTGTCAGGAAGACCCTTACACTTAGAGGTGTTGAAATAGCTGTTGTCCATGCAGAAGCATAGCCCTCTTTGGAATTTGTATGTCATTAGCAAAAGCAGTCAACTAGGCTGCTAACTGGTAAAGACACAGGGAACATATGATGCCTGTACCAAGAGATTTGCACTGATTGCCAGCTGCTCACCAAGCACAATTTAAGCAGCTAGCATTGTTTTTTAAAGTCTTAAATGCCTTTGGACGTGATTCTCCCATTACAATGTGTCTGATTGTTAAGATCTATAATTTAGTTTAATTTAATTTAATTTTTAAATAAAATGGGAGAGGACCTTCGCAGAGAGAACCTTTGCATATTTGTCCCCACTGTCAGAGGCACCCCCTTCTGGCACATAGAACAAGGCTTCCTCCTGCATTATTTCCAGATTACTGAACACAGTCCCCAGAAATTGCATTTTGCTCCCACTTTCTCACAATTTAGAAAATCTGCACAGGAACATCTCTTATATCAGGCTATTAATTGGTTTTGGCATTAATTTTAACCTTTTTATATTGTGCTTTTACTTTTCAAAATATTTGTTAGCCACTTGAGTACTTCACAGAATAGTGAGCTATACATCAAATAAATTAATAGCCAAGTGGCAAGCATGATGCGTTCTTTAACTAACAGCTAATGGAGAGGGAAACCTGATTTTCCTGGTCCCCTGATTTGTAGGAGACAAGCTGACTGTTGACTGGTAAAAGTTCAGATTATGTTTAAGGTAGATCCCAAGTATTTTAGTGTGTCCAGCTTGTCCCACATCACTTCCTTGAGTAGAAAAATTAAGATTATACCACATTTTACATATGATCATGTGCATCTCTTCTTCTAACCAGGTATTACCATCATGTAATATTGTACAGACCAGCACTTACTCAGATCAGTGCTATCCTCCTTGAGTGGCATAGCTTGCTTGTCTTCTAAGCCAAGGCATTTCACCTGTTCTTTCAGATCAGTCACTGTAGATCTGATTAAAACAAATAAAATCCATAGTAGTAATGGTTCCAAAGGAAGAAATACATGGAACTTGAGACAAACTCAAATTCAGGGCAGTTTTAAAGAATTCAAAGAGCTGAAGTATAAAAAGTAAAGAAAAAGTATTCTACAGTGCTTGTAGATGGAAACATAACCTATTTGATAGATGCTGCTGTTAAAGGCAAAAGGCTCAAAATTGTAATAGGGAACAGAATAATAAAAGAGTGAACAAGAACAGAGTTTAAAGTGACATATCTCTAAGGAACTACAGAAGGCAATTAATATTACTAATCATGTTTCTCTGGATGCATCGAATTCCTGGAGTGGCCAGGCTCACAGCAAAAGCGGCACGTTTGTTGTTAACCTAACTGTGTAAATAGGGAGCCCCCTGGTGGACAATTGCCTGCTAGTCCCTAGCTTGACATTTTCCCCCTTCACCATCACATTGTCTTCTGAATGAGAGTAATAAGCATCAGAATTTAGCAACCATGTTCTTTCCAATCTTTCACGGAGCCCTGCATGAACACATGTCCACTGAAGCATACAAAGCACAGCATAGGTTGGCTTACTTGACATCACTGAACTCCTGCTTGGTGCTCTGAGTTTCATTCCTTGTTTTGTCACAATCCTGAACCTGAGCTTTATGAGTGTTCATTAAATCTTCAAGCATCTGGGAAGAAGAACATGAAAGTGTAGTTTTAAATATAGGTTTTTGTTTTATCTAGTTTCAAGATGAACAAGAAAAAATTAAAAGGGTATTTTTTCTTATAGGTAAATAGTTCCCCATTCATTTACTTTTCTGTGACAATTAGTAAATATATAGCTACAGAGAGAATGAATTGGCAAATGTTTATATTCACACTCGAGTAGCACAACATTATGACTAAATTCAAGCCCTAAGAGGAAGCTAAAGGGCAGCTGCCATGACACTACATTATGCTTATGTAGTTGGAAAAATACAATGAACTGATGGCTGTATATGTTCAGTCCCAGCAGGTATAGTGTGTTTTCCCCTTATCCCATGCCTTTTTCTGCACACAGACATTCCTGATGATGCTAGAAGAAAAAAAAATAGACAACAAAACTAGCAGCAGCTTTGTGCACCCCACTACCTGAATTATAAAAACTATTTTAAGAAAGAAAGACTACTTGGGCAAATGAAGGAGTAGGTGGATGACTAATTTTTCCATTTATTTCTTAGATATTTAGCTAGGAACTGTACTGTGATCCTCAGTAGTCAGTCACTTTCAACTCTTTTGTCTAATATAGATTATAAGCTTCACTAGACAAAGACTGAATTCCTTTTATTTTTTATGTTGGGGTAGCACTATTAGCACTAAATCATCAAGTAGCAACAGAGTTCTTATAGTTGTACCTTACAGTACCGGTTTTGGGTTCTCTTAATCTCATGAGTTGCAGAAACTTGACTGAATAGATCCTCTTCTTGGCGATCTAAAGGATGCAATAAGCAACACCATTTTTTAAGCTGCATACTTCTTTCTCTCTTCTTCAGTAGGGCCACCAAGAAGTGGTCCTTTGCCTGATATTATTACAATACAGAGGGTATGGGAGCAAGAACCTCAAGCATTACTTGCCAAGTTTATGTTTCAGCTGCTCTATCTCTCTCCTGATGCATTCATATTCTTGCCACAGGACTTTCTTACTGGAATAAGAAGAAAAGCAGGAGCATCAGCAGTAAGACAAGGGCTAGTTCTCAGAACTAGCTACAAGCTCCATTAGAAAATGAACACATGTTTTAAATTAACAGAATTTGAAAAGTACCAAACAGGCTGTCTGCAATTCCAATGCACTGAGAGATGGTAATTTTTTTTTTTTATCCACACTCAATCGTGACCAATTCTGTGGCGACTGCCTGGACGAGTCCCTGCAGTTTTCAAGGCAAGGTGTTTTTGAAGGGGGTTTGCCTTTCCTCCTTCCCTGAGGGGAGCCCAGGTG